TGGTGCTGACAACACCAAGCCAAGGGGTGAGATCCCCTTACCGGTCATCTTTTAAAAAAAATAAAAATAAAAAAATAAAAAATAAAATATTTATCAGGGCTGGCCAGTTAGTTCAATTGGTTAGACTGTGGGGTTGTAACACCAGCATCAAGGGCTCAGATCCCTTTACTGGGCAGCCACCAAAAAAAAAAAAAAAAAAATTATGGATGAGATGATATCACGTCTTGGATTTCCTTCGGTGTAACTGGGGAGGAGTGAACGAGTGGGGTACAGACAGTACAAGATTAGCCATTTGTTGAAGTCCATTGAACCTGGATGCTGGTATGAGCTGTATGAGGCGTACGGTGTATTCCCCTTCTATGAACTTCTGTGTATGTTTGAAACACTCCATAGCAAAAAGTTACAAACATAGGTCCTATTCTCCCCTTCACGCCCCATCCCACATTTGTTGCGTTTATTTTCTTTCTCGACCTCATCACAATTTTAAAGGGTTTGTCTTCACCTGCCCCAGAATGGAAGGTCCGTAAAGGCATGCACCACTGTATATGTATATATTTTTGGTGGCTGGTGGTGAGGGGATCCGAACCCTTGACCTTGGTGTTACCAGCACCATGCTCTACCGAGTGGGCTAACTGACCAGCCCCTTGAATGAATAAATAAGAAGAGGAAACTTGAGGTGTCAGTAGGAAATTCGACTCTGTTAAAGCAAAAAGTAGGCTGGAAAGGCGTCCACTGAGGAGAAAGGATTTGATGCAGTTAATGCTGAAAATAGAACCAGCCAACAGCAAACTGTGACCAGAGCTTCATTCCTTTCTATAAGAGGGAGCCCAACACCCTTTGGCTGCTTGTTTTTTTTTTTTTAAATTCAGTGTTAAAATGTTAATAAGAGCTTAGAAATGATTCCATCATATGCTTATTTAAATCGTAGTATTCTCTTAGCTTTCTGTAATGTATTTTAAACCTGTATAATGATCACAATCCTTTGCCTTCCTGAAAGTTACAAATATTATGATCTGTTTTTTTTTTTAGACCACTAAGGGGATGTTAACTCTTGACTTGGTGTTGTCAGCACCACGCTCTCCCAAATGAGCCATAGGCCAGCCCGAAACTGGGTGATTTACAAAGAAAACAAAATTTATTGCTGATAGTTTCTGAGGCTGGGAAGTCCAAAGTCCATCTGGTGGTGGCAACAGTGACCCAGGGGTCTCACATTGCAAGACGGTGGCAGGAGCAGAGAGAGAGAGAGAGATAGAAATAGAGAGAGTGCAGACAGACTCTCCTCTCGTTTTGAAGTCCTCAGAACCACCATTATTAATCCATTCACTACTGCAGGGTCCCACAATCCGATCACCTCTTCATCGTATAACTTCGTATAATGTATGCTATCTCTTCAAGGCTCCACCTTTCAATGACCATAATAGGATTTCCCACCCCCTTAGCAGTCACAGGGGCTAAGTTTCTAATACATAAAACTTGGGGGACACAATTCAGGCTTCAGTGAGTTTTGTGGGGATAATTCAATCCACTACACTTTCCTCCTACTTTTAAAAAAAAAAATTGAAGGGCCGGCCCGTGGCTCACTCGGTAGAGTGCGGTGCTGATAACACCAAGGCCATGGGTTCGGATCCTATATAGGGATGGCCGGTTCGCTCACTGGCTGAGCGTGGTGCTGACAACACCAAGCCAAGGGTTGAGATCCCCTTACCGGTCATCTTTAAAAAAATAAAAAATAAAAAAATAAAAAAAATAAAAAAAAAATTAACTTTTTGAAAACTAGGTCAGTTGTCTTACAGAAAATCTTATATTCTGGATTAATCTGATTATTTCTTCGTGATGGCATTTAACTTGTTCCAATAGACACTTGTTCCAATAGACTGGAAAATAGGTCTAAAGGCTTAGAAAGGTTAAATAAAACTTTTTATATTTTAGTGATGTTAGGTTTGATAACCTGGTTAAAGTTAACAGCAAACTTCTTCATTTTAAAGGAACATCGACGAGCCAGACATCTGTCTATGGGGTACTTTGGTGGTCGGCAAGTATCTGCTTCCAGAACCCTCTTCAGCAGATTCAATTATCCATATCTGAGTCGATGATTTCATCAGGGCTTGCAAAATAGCTATGTCGTATAACTTCGTATAATGTATGCTACACGAAGTTATTACGAAAAAAGAATGAGTTTGCAATATTTAGTACCATGGCCAGCTGCCGTGGAATGTATTATTCATACAATTCCTTTCCCTCGTACTCATGAGTCACTGAGCTGACTATATGGCCTATAAAATGTGGTGACTGCACCCTCAGTGTGGGGTTAAGGGAATGATGGGCCGGCCCCTCAATGCTGAATTTTTTATGTTTTTTAAATCTTTCTTTTCTTTTTTTCAGTGCTGAATTTTAAGGTAAGAATTAGCCACGAGTCACCTCAAATCAAGACACCTAAGTGTTTTGCCCCCTCCATTACCAGTATCATTAAGGATTCCTAGATTTTTTTTCAATGTTTTATAAACAGTTATTATTACTTTTCTTCTTGATGCTCAAATTGTCCCAAATTTGGCCAGTGGGAGCTCCTTCATGTTGGCTATGTAACTGCAAACAAGATACACTTAGCCCATGACTTGTTAGAATCTGTCATTTAGAGCCATGGATCAGATCCAGACTCCTGCCTGTCCTGGTAAATACAGTTTCCTTAGAACACAGCCTCGCCCATTTCATTTACATGTTTTCTCTGGCTGCTTTTTACACCATAAAGGCGACAGAAACCACATAGACCAAAAATCCTAAAACATTTACTATTTGGCCTTTTCCAGAAAAAACTTGTCAACCCCTCTTCTAGAGGCAATTGATAACATAATTTTCTGTGCAAAGGGCTTTTTGTCAGATTACTCTTGTTATTTAATGATTTAAGCTATTTTAAATTTATTTTTATAATTGTTGCTTATATACAGAAATACATTTGTTTTTTGTATTGATTTTGTAGCCAAAGAATTTCTTAATTTGTTTATTAATTCTAATCACTTATCTGTTGATTTTTTTGGATGTTATGATTATCTCATATACGTATAATTTTATTGTGTCCCTTCTAATCCTTATACCTTTTTTTTTTTTTTTTTGCACGTTACCTAGAATTGCTGGTAACCAGTATCCTGTCTCTTTCTTAATCTCAGGTGGAAAATTTTACTTTGTTTAAATACAAAATTTTCATGGAAATAACTTCACATATTTAAAGAATACTTAATCCTTGGAAATATTTTCTCTTTAAATCCTTTTCTGGGGCTGGCTAGTTAGCTCAGTTAGTTAGAGCGTGGTATTGCTAACACCAAGATTAAGGGTTTGGATCCCCTGACATGCCAGCTGCCAAAACAAAAAGAAAAACAAACCAATTTTTCTGAGTTTTTAAACTACGTGTTTTATAATAATATAACCTTTTTTACTTAGTATATTCTAAGTGTTGTCATTAAGTATTACACAGTTATTCTCCTACAAGATCTTAATGCCTAAGTGGTATTCCATCACACGCTTAGTTAGACCTTACTCCATTTAACCAATCTCCTATTGGAATTTTCTATTCTATTTTTTTTTTTTTTTTTTTATAAAAGATGACCGGTAAGGGGATCTTAACTCTCGACTTGGTGTTGTCAGCACCACGCTCACCCAGTGAGCTAACCGGCCATCCCTATATGGGATCCAAACCCTTGGCCTTGGTGTTATCAGCACCACACTCTCCCGAGTGAGCCACAGGGCCGGCCCCAGACGCATTTTTTAAAATGCCAGTTGTAGAGCCGGCCCGTGGCTCACTCGGGAGAATGCGGTGCTGATAACACCAAGGCCAAGGGTTTGGATCCCATATAGGGATGGCCGGTTTGCTCACTGGGTGAGCGTGGTGCTGACAACACCAAGTCAAGGGTTAAGATCCCCTTACCGGTCATCTTTAAAAAAAAAAAAAAAAAATGCGTCTGGTTGGCTCCTTTTCAATCTTCAGCTTTCCATGACCCTTTAATTGATCTATCAGCCGATGTCACCAGTTAGTCTTAGGTCACCCCAACCTCTCACCTCAGAATTAATCTCAACGTAATGACATAGCCCGATAAGACATACTTCTCACTTTATATCATGAAAGAATGTGTAGAAATTTATTGCAAGTTTCTTAGGGAGTAGAAGGAGAGGCTCATACTATACAAAGGAACCAAATCTTAATCCTCGAATACTGTCCCCAACCCCTGCCCCAGAGTTCCACTGCGTACATCAGTGGCCTCTAATCTTCTCACCAAAATTCTGAGACCCTCCACCTTTCTCCTTACCCTGCCCCCTTAACCCCAGCCTTAGGTCTTGCCCTCTGCATCCCTTTATGTAGCAGTAATCTTGTGCTTTTGTAAATTTTCCCTGTCATTTTGCATGTTTGTCTGGGTAGAGGAGAAGGGGAGAGGAAAGTACAGAGAAGGGAAGACAAAGATGTACTGAAAAGACAGCCATGACTTTTGGTTTGCTCTGGGCAATAGTTTATTTTGATTTTAAATTAATACCTGGTGTGCCCATTCACCTTTTGAATTATAAACATAATTGTACTCAGATTACCATCTGATAGTATTTTTACAATAAAGAAAGTTATTTTTGTTTGCTTTTGGCAGCTGGCCGATGTGGGGATCCGAACCCTTGATCTTGTTTGTTACAAGGTGGGCTCTAACCACTGAGATAACTGGCCAACAAGAAAGTTATGTTGGATGGTACTTTGAGGAGACCCAAGTGAGGCTCCACTTCAGGTTGAGCAGCATGAGCCTGAGCGCCTGGGTCCACCGCTCCTCCGTGTTCAGAAGGGTGGTGATGGAGTAGCATTCCCTGCTGCCCCCGGCATCCTCCAGCAGGCCTTTGTCCACGTGGATCTTGTAGGGCAGGCAGAGGCCTTGCTCGCCCTTCCCAGCCTCTTCTTTGAACTGCTGCATGCAGTCCAGGAAGGCCCGCATGGCACGGTCAAATCTGTTACCCCAAAACACACCCCGCCCCCCACAACAGAACAGCGGCAGCTCAGTGGAGCCACCTGGTAAGGACCTCAGATAGGAGTGGTTTCCGCAGGGGACCAGGCTGTACCTTTGAAACTGCAGCCCAATTGCATTGGACAGGGAGAGCAGCAGCAATGCCGTCTGTCCCCACGCAGCGTTAATCTCATTCCAGCTCACGGGGACAGTGGGGAGGCAGCCCAGTCTGAAGTTATTGATGACACCCAAGGGGCCCTCCTCCCAGATCTTAAATGTGGCATTGAAGACGTCAATTTTCTGCAGCTGGTGCAGCTGGTCACGGGCGTGGCGCAGCTGGTTGTCCACGCTCCTCAGCTGGTCCTGCAGTTCCAGGTGTTGCCACTCCAGTGCCATGCAGTCCATCTGGACCTGCCGCTCCCGCTGCTGCAGCTCTGCAGTCTCAGCCTGGGCTGCCTGCAGCTCCGCAGCTGCCCTTGCAAGGTTCACGTCCACATCCTGCAGCTCCCGGGCCATCCGTGCCTCCTCCTGCTGCAGGTCCCCCAGCTCCGTCTGCAGCGCCTCCTGCCCCACCTGCTTGCTGGTGTCCAGACAGCGCCTGTAGTCCTGGCTCGCGAGCTCTGTGGCAGTGAGCTGGGCATCCAGCTGCTCAAAAAGTGTGTCAGTGCACTCCTCACACAGGGGATGATCCACATCTCTCTGGCCAGAGAGGATGTCAAAAATCTCCCCGGCAGCCTTATGGATGCTGCTGAAAATTCTCAAGGAGCCAATCTCCCCAAGCAGGGTGAAGTTGTCTGCACCAACTCTGGACATCCTGCCGCCGTCAGCAGGGGGTCCACCAGAGGGACCGGCCTGCAGGTTTTGGATATCCATCTCCTCCCTGCAGGTAGCACCATCCTCTTGGGTGTCCCCTGGTCCCCCCTGTGCTGGGGCAACTGTCCCGGCTGCAGGGTGGCCCAGAGTCTCCAGGAACCGGCTCACTTTCAAGGGCTGGCTGCAGTGCTGGCAAACGAAGCGGATGGAGGACATGGTTTTGGCCATGACTCCCACCTCCAAAGAGTCTGAGTTTCCTCTGGCTCCCCAGTTGCTTACCATCTACCTTTTAAGCTCTTTCTACAAGAGTGATTCTTTTAAAATGCATATCTCATCTTGTCCCTCTCCTGCTTAAAACCCTACAGTGGGACCCTCCTTACCTGTGGACTTCTTTCGGCTCCTGCTAGACCAGGGATTGTTTCTAAAAGGAATATCTGATCATCTCACTCTCTTCCTTTAACACTTTCAAGGCACACCTTAAAGGTAATCTTTCTAAAATGCAAATCTGATCATGGAACTTTCCCCCTTAAAATGCTTAATGCATTTATCTTACCTTAAGATAAAGTACAGCCTGGCCGGTTAGTGCAGTTGATTATAACACGTCTCTGTGACACCAGGGTTAAGGGTTTCGATCCCCATGCCGGCCAGCCACCAAAAAAAAAAAAAAAAAAAAAAAAAAGATAATATTTAAATAAAATAAAGTACAAAAAGATAAAGTCCAATCATCATAACCTGACCAAGATCCCAGCCCATCTTTCCAGCTTCTCTCACCATTTCCTACCTGCCCTCACCCATGAGTCCCTCTGTGTTCCTGCAGGCTAACTGCATTTTGGTTTTTCCAATATGTTATGTTGTTCCCTCTAATTAACTGGAACACTCTTCCTTTCCTTTTTTTGCACGTGTGTGTGTGTGTGTGTGTGTGTGTGTGTGGCTTGCCTGCAGCAGATCTGAACCCTTGATCGTGGTGTTATCAACACCACACTCTCACCAACTGAGTTACCAGGCTGGCTCGTCTTTACCTGGCCACCTCCTACTCATTTTTAGGGCCAGGTTAGATGTCACTTTCTCCAGGAAGCCTTTCTGGACCTCCCAATTAGGCTCTCTACTGTTGTGACACAGAGTAGTGTAATGGGCATACACAGAACAGATATCTGGTTGATTAATGAATCAAAATAAAATAGTTCAGGGCTGGCCAGTTAGCTTAGTTGGAGTGTGGTGTTATAACACTGAGATTGAGGGTTCGGATCCCAGTACCGGCCAACTGCCCCAAACAATAAAATAAAATAGTTCAGAGGTATATATCTTACCATTAGCTCAGCCAGAGGCTGAGATATGTCGCTTCATAATAACAAAATTAATACACTAATCAAAAAAAGCAGACAAAAAAATTACAAAAATGTGTGTTGATCTCCATAATCAACCACCCAGTTAAGCACATTTTGTCCAGAGATACTGATACCAGGCACAGGTCCGATGCCTGCCCCCTTTTCAAAAAAACAACCCAAAAGTCAAAGTCTGGTGAAAATGGAAGTCAGCTTTTATTCAGGAATACCAGTGACCTGAGGACAGATGTTAGGCTCACCCATCTATCTCCCTGGTAAACCTGCAGGAGACTGGCCAGACTAAAGCCATCTCCAAGACTCAGCTTTACTGAGGGGTTTTAAAAGAGGGGTTGAGGGAATGGAACGTGGGAAATGAACAGCAGGAGGGAGGGGCAGGTGCAAGGGGCCAGGTGCAAAGTCTCACCAAGACTCCGTCTAGTTTCTGCTCCTGTCCTTGCTGTTATCTCAGGGTCTGGGTAGTACATGCACGTCTGCAGCTTCAGGCTGGCTGGAAAACAACTTTACATTCACGTAAATAATGTCATCTTGCCCCATAACCAAGTTTCAAAATATCATGCAACCATGGGAAAAGAGGGAACTCAGAGAAATACACGCCAAGAAAAAAATTTTTTAATCCTTTAAAGATCTTTCAGAGCTCATGTTGCTTTAGGTCCCAACATGGCTTCAGTCCTGCTCACTCCAACATTTTCAGAATTATCAGCATAAGTTTGCCTGGGTTTACTGGTCAAACAGGATTATATTTGGCCCTGCTATAGGTTTTTAAAGTTAAAGTGATAAACCTAGCCTAAAACAGAATGATCTTTGATTATGCAATTTTTACATAAATGAGGCTAATTTAGTATTGTTAGTAGAAAGAAACAAGTGTGTAAGAGAAGAAGAGATGGCTTTGGCCTGGCCGTTCCCCTTTAGGTTTTCCAGAGAGATGGGTTACCGGAGAGACCAGTATTCCTGAATAAATCCGACTTCCATTTTCACCAGCATTTGACTTCTGGGTGGTTTGTTTCTGAAAGGGCACAGGCAGCCACTCTTGGGCCCAGTAACAATATTTGCCCTAAAACAAAAACTTTATGAGCTTCTAACCTGCAGTTAATGACTGTTGGATAAGCATAAAGTAAATGCACACAGACGGACCCGATTCCTCATCCTCACCAGGAGAGCCAGCAGAAGCCCACGTGCCAGCTGCACCCACCGCCTTGGCAGGGGCTGGCTCTGCAGGCTGGCGGAAGCTCACTCACCAGGGAGTGACCCTGGACTCCCTAAGTTTAAGCACATCAGGTGGTTTTGCTACACTGGACCACATGCTGAGGAATGTTGCTTTAGTGAGGAAACACGCTTTGCACCTGCACCATTCACTGCAGTCTTCAAACTCCATTCAATTCCTGTCCCCATCATGGTGGAGTGGGCCACTTACATCTCTCCACCATGACCGTTTGGGGGGGCTCTCACTAGTACCTTATGTGATCCTCAAAACCACTGGGAGGTGGGAAGACAAGGGTACATACCTACTTTCCCATCAGGATGCTAAGGTGCAGAGAGATTAAACAATTAGTCAAAAACTCTGCCTCACCCTTAAGACCTCTCTGAAATATCCCTGAGTCAATAAATAACAGGAGCATCCTCTAAGAAGTTAACTGCTGAGCCCCTCCCTTGTCCCAGGTCATTCCGTGTTCCCCAGAACCTGTTGAGTGGGCCAAGCATGAAAGGCAACCCCACAACTGATCAGGAAGCAGATCGATTGTTCAAAATGCTTAAAACAAGAATCCCCCACTTGCAATACGGATTGCACTGTGTGTGGAGGGGGTGCATGGTGCCCTCTGGGCATGAGCCCTAGGGTCACAGTCAGAAAGGTCTCCATGCAGTCTGCCTTTCCCCACCTCAACCCTTCTCCCAAAAGGGTTGAGGGGCGGCAGAATGAAGTTGGAGCTGCTTTACATGTCATGGTCACTTCTTTTTTTTTTTTTTTTTTTAAAGATGACCGGTAAGGGGATCTTAACCCTTGACTTGGTGTTGTCAGCACCACGCTCAGCCAGTGAGTGAACCGGCCATCCCTATGTGGGATCCGAACCTGCGGCCTTGGTGTTATCAGCACCACACTCTCCCGAGTGAGCCACGGGCCGGCCCTCATAGTCACTTCTGAATCCCGATTCATCCCTGGGGTGGAATAGCAAAGTAAATCTGCTGGTGGTGACGAAGTCTTATTTTAATTACTCCTCCACTAAAACCAAGCAAAAATCCAAGCCACACCTGGCTTTGAGTTTGAGTCAGCCCAGAGGGACGATGCCTTGTGCAGGCTAAGGGAACACAGAGGTCAAGGGGTGGGGATTGTTTCATATTCCAGGTTATCCTGAATAATGCCCCCAGGATACCCCCGGAGTCTGTCTGTGGAGACCCTCTTCAGTGAAGGAGTGGGTGGAGCTGGAGTGTTGCTCTCGGTTGGAAGGGAAATCCCTTCTTATTTCTGGAGACTTCTAACTCCTGCCTCCTCATTCAGGATCTCAGTCGTGAGGGTTGGGGAGGGCCAAGCGGAAGGCCTCTGTGGGTTGGAGGGTGTTTCGCTGCACGGGGGTGTGCACTGCGGTATAGTCAGCACCTACATGAATTATCCTGACCCTCCATTTTCCTTCCATCTTGCTCATTTCCTTGGCTCCTTTGCCATAAAACTCTAGGAAAGATTTGTCTCTACACATCATCTCCAATTCCTCTGGACACATTCTCTCTCAAACCCACCCTAATCCATCTTTATCCTCACTAGTCCATGGAAATTCCTCTTATCAAGGTCACAAAAACCATCCATGTGGTTAAATTTCATCTCGGTGGAATAGGAGCAAGGTCTTCAGCTAGAAGTGAGGATGGGGAAGAAGGGACTGTGTGTGGCAGTCACCTGGAACAGAGAAGAGATGACAGAAGTGGGGTGACTGCTGGCCAGCGGGAATGACCTGCATGCAACTCGCTGCCAGGAGTGGGTGCATGTTTTTCTCCAGCCACGGTCACCTGTGTGAATGTTGCTAAGCAAGACGAAACCAGGGAGATGAGGAGGACACGGAGCAAGAGATACCCGGACCCAGTCCAGCTTCCTGCCCCAAACAAAAACCCTCGCTTCACTTGCCAGACTCTGTTCCCCGGGCCCTCAGCTCCTGGGTTAGGCTTGCCAAAATCTTGTTACAGAACTCAGGTCCGGCTACTTGCCCCCAAATAAAAGCAAACAACCCCAAAGTCAAATGTTGGTGAAGATGCAAGTCAGCTCTTACTCAGGAATCCCGGTGACCTGAGGAGAGATGTTAGGTTCACCCATCTCTCTGGTAAACCTGCAGGAGAATGGCCAGATTAAAGCCATCTCCAAGGCTCAGGTTTACCGAGGGATGTTTAAAGTGGGGCTGAGGGAATAAAACACTGGAAATGGAAAGCGCAAGGGAGGGAGATGTGAGCCATGGGGGCTCCGTGTGAGGGGCCAGGTGCAAGGTGTCCCCAAGGCTCCATTCAATTTCTGTTCCCGTCCTTGCTGTTATCTCAGGGTCCTGATTTGGGGTGGAATCAGCACAGCTGTATTGATATCTTCCTTGGTTTCTCAGGATCTGGATAGTACGTGTCTGGCGGCAAGTCTGCAACCCAGGCTGACTGGAAAACAAATTTACATTCATGTGAATAATGTCATCTTGCCCCATAACCAAGGTTCAAAATTATCAAATAACCATGAGAAAAGAGGGAACTCAGAGAAATGCATGCCAAGAAAAAAAAAAAAAAAACAACTGTGTCTTTTAAAAATCTTTTAGAAGGACCGGCCCATGGCTCACTTGGGAGAGTGTGGTGCTGATATCACCAAGGCCACAGGTTCAGATGCTATATAGGGATGGCCGGTTCGCTCACTGGCTGAGC